AGAAGTGGTGTGTATCTTACCTTCTTTTTGTAAAGCTTATCTTAAATCCGCTAATTTGACTACATATGAAGGTACAACTACATCCTTGGCAATGTAAACTTCTATAATATATTAATATATATGATTATATTATATATTATATATTATATATTTAGGATCATTAAATTATAGGTACAACCTATATTACAACATTTTCTGATTCATTATAACCATTTCGAAGTGTTATAAAAGATGAATATTTTTCTATTATCAATTAAAAAACCCTCAACTTATTCACAAATTTCTAAAACAAACAATTGATAAGTTGTCAGTCAGTTATATGCTTACTTTTTCATTTCGTTTATTATATATATCATCCATGGTAAACATATCATATTCTTCATGCAAGTTGTGATGACTATTTTATCACTACACAGTGTTCTTTTTTGTATATTTAACCATTGTAGTTTCTTTTGTGTATATCAAACATCTATTATGATAGATAAAAATGAGGGTATGAAAATGATGGATTTATATGCCTGTATAATTTTATTCTAATAATAATACTTTTACCTCAAGAGCAACGACTAATCACTTCAGCAACTGGGTTTTCATAGATAGACTATACCACTTCAAATCAATTGCCTTGATGAGTTCAAAGAACTCATTTAATCTTAATTGAAATAGTATAATGTTAAACTCCACGAGGGGATGATCAACATCTCCAAAATATGTACATGATTTTAGAAAAATTTTATATTACTACTAAATAGAATGTTTAAGCCATTCAATCTTTCTTTTCTGCATCTTTCTTTTCAACAAGTACAGATAATCTCAAATGTCTGGTTAATTAGAAATGGTTAGTAAATTGTTCAATAATTTAATAATAAAAACAATCATATCTATATCAATCAAAGAAAATTTAATAAATTACTTTACTATAGGATCCAAACATGCTTCACATATGGATCCGAGATCTCATTTAAGACGATCAGTGCCTTCTAGAATTATAACTACCAAATATTCTGGTGTTTGTGTGTTATCACCAGTATCACCTTTAACTAATCGATTGCATGAGGTAAGTTTACAGCTTTAGGGCTATCAGGTAATGTTATGACAATTTTTTCACCAAGTATGGCCTACTTAAAGTTGCAAATAGTGTTTTCTTTATTCAGTAAAAGCACAAATCCTGTAGTACCTGTTGTTAATACAACATCAAAGTTTATCCTTATACCACACTATTGAATTGCGCTTTTTGTATTTCATTAAATAATTTTTTTGTTGGAAACTTTTTAATATTGAGGATGTTGATGTTGATAATTGGTTTTTTGTTGGAATAAACAAATTCAGCATTTATATGCTAATGGTTTTTATTTCCAAATTTTATAAAATTAAAAGTTGAACATAAAATATGAACCCGTAAAATTCTTTCAATAAAAGTAATAAATAATTGTAACTAATCTAATTTATACATATTTTAAAAAAAAATTCTCATTGTTATTTCTTTTATTCTCTTCTCCCCCTTCTTTCTCTCAATTCATTGGTTTTTTTTTTTAGATATTCATTAAACTGTCTTGATAAATTACATTATTAACGGAATGATTCTCCGACTATATAATTAACAAAATATAAATAAATAATAGATTTAATAACACTATTATTGTTGATGATTGTTAATTTACTCACCATTTTTACCACGTAATTTAACACCCAAGACTCTTTCAAGCTTTGCAAGGATTTGTTGATTTGGAATTGTTCTACTCATCTCATAATCATTAATCTAATAATAATTTATCTAAATTAAATATATATATATGTGTGTGTGTGTGTGTAATTCATAATATATAATATAATGCATTATACTTACAACATTAGCCTTTTCGTTGACTTTTTGTCCAAGTTCTTTTTGTGTTAATCCTTTGGCTTGTCTGGCTTGCTGAATTGCCTTACCAACTGTTAAGCTTACCTTTGGAGGTGGTGCGACCTCATTGTCACGATCAAGTTTAGCTATTTTTTGATGTTCAGTATTTGAATGACTTCTATTAGTTCCACCTGCGACTAAAAATATAAATGTAAATTAATACATATAAATTTAATGTACATGTTTTTTCCAATCCTTAGTTCTCTCCATAAAGAGAAACCTACCCTTCCGTTCTACACCTACTACAGCACCTGCACGTCTAGCTGCATTAATATTAGAATCTCCTTTGGCAACCTTTGCTTGATCTGAACGTTTACGAATAACTGTAATGTTGTCCCAATCAGTTTCACTCATTATTAATATTTGTGAGATTAAAGGTAAAAAAAGTGTATTACAAATACTGAATAAGCTACAACCTTCATTAGGCGCAGTTATATCCAAATCATCGTATTCAGGGGGGCATATCGAGTTAGGGTCGAAAATTGATTTTATTATTATTATTATCACTATTACTACAGTCGAACCTTGTCACAGCGGATGAACGGGACATAAGAAAATTTTATTTAAAATCCATTGTGGAAAGATTGCTAGTATTGCTGCAACGGATTTTTATATGTTTTTATATTAATATTAATATTAATGAAACAAAATTTTAGAAATCCGTAATGATTATAATCCGACCGCTGTGACAAGATTTGACCGTATTACTATGCATACTTGGGGAGTTCTAGTTGAAAGATATATTATGCATGTCAGCTGATTAATACAATCTTTTGCCGTGTGAAAAATTATTATATGTTTGTTTATTCTCAATTAAATTAGTCTTTTTTATTTTCTTCTTCCTTCATCTTTTCAAGAATTTTCATTCGACGAACATAACTTTTAGTAGCAGTAGTGATAGTGTGCGCATAAATATATATAAACAAACAAATAAATACAAATTCATTAATTGCAAAATCCAAATATTAAGTAGGTTTTTATATGGTTGATAGATATAACATACTCTTCGTATTGACATTTTTCATATGTATGTCTTTCATCTTGACATTTCCATGGCAAAAACCAAGTAGAATTTCTACATTTATTTAAACGTAATGCTAAATGTGCACAATAATCTCTCCATTCTAATGGAAGTCCTGCTTCACTCATTTCTTTTTGAGTTGCAATCATCACTTAATCGAAGAATGAACAATAAGAATCAATTAATATTAATATAAAGTAAATCTCTACCAATACAAGTGTATATATTACCTGGAGTGGCTATATCATCTTCATTTGCAATCATTGTTAAAAAAATCTTTATACTATTTTTATTAATGTATTATTAAAAAAAAATTTTTCAAAAAAAAAAAAATTTATTTATATTATGAAAAATGTAACACAGATTTGCCATTTTTAGAACAAAAATATATATATATATATACAGTATTTTATAATTTTTTTTAATAGGTCGAGCTATTAGGCATCAAAATGACTATGCGACGATTATATTATTAGATCATCGATTCAACACAAATTTTAGAATAAGGCAAAAATTACCAAGTTGGATTAATAAAAGTGGTAAAATTTCGACTTTTTTAAATCAAAAAATAATAAAAATTAATTAGAAAAGCCGTATACTGTACTAGTAAACATTATCATTGCGACAACAACCTCGAATTTAATGAGCAAGAAAGCATTCTTTGAATTATAAATAGAAGAACCACATGATTTTAATTTTTTATATAACGTCATAATATTATTATAATGAGATGCTGTACAAGGTCCATTACTAATAGGATTTATTACCATTTCCATAATCTTTCATGTACAAATAGCTTCATCTTCAAATTTAAAACCATGAAAGAAGAATTCAAAAATTTAATACTTATAGATAAAGATTCTCCACCTCTACAATTCATTTATAAATATTATAAGCTAGAATGATGGATTATGAATTTATTCTTTAAACGTACAAGAATTCCGTGCTAATCAGCACGGAATTTTTAAAAAAGCAGTAGACCTCTACTAGAAAAAAATTACTAATTGACCACCTATTTTTTTTAAATTTTTCAATAGGCAAAGAAAGATACGGAGTTTTCACACAAATATTCGATCTTGATTTTTTTTTTTTTAGATGTTTTATTGATACCAAAGTAAGCGTATTTTTAAAATTCCAAAAATTGGACCCATGCCTAAATCCGCAAGATATGCAATAAATATATGAAATTCATTTAAACCGAGATTTAAAAAAAATGAATTTCTGTGTTTAAAATAAAGTTTTTCAAGGGTTTACACGTGTTATCCCTAATAAATTTTTTTAAGCAAAGCAGTGCACATTGAATAACATTTTCTAAATAAGAAAGGTGAAAAATGTCGCAATTCCCCAAATTCCCGTGCAATAACTACAATATCCGTGTAGTATTAATATGCTTGTGTGCTCTATTCGGAGTTTAGTCATATTTACAATATTACCATCATCGTCTTCTCCACTAACAAATATCTTTTTTTATTTCCGACTCGAATATATCATTATTTTTATTTTCAGGAACGCGGATATCAAAGAATACTTTATTACCAGTTATTGTTACAACTGCTTTCTGGCCATTAATGAGAGAGCCATATAGACGTAAAACGTAATGAGTGAAAGAGTTTTTGAATACCCGTCTTAGTTGTCCTAGTTGTCCTAGTAAAATTTCAGAATTTCTTACTTTTTTATTTATTTTTATATTTTTTTTTTTTTGGATATACATATTAATATATATACACATATACCATAGAAAAGGTTTGCATTTTTTTTCCTAGAATTTTAATTTTTACTAGGACAACTAGGACGGATTTTTATAAAGTATAAAATAACAAGATAAATCAAGGAAAAAACTCTTCCTCCTAGTAAAAAAATACATCCTAGTTAGCTTTTTTTTATTAGGACGGAACTAGGACAGAATTCCTCCCGTTTTTATATCCATTTTTGGGCTTACTTGGTAGTAAAAAAGATAACGCGTTTTAACGAGAGGAGTTAAAGAATATGTTCCTGATGAACAAATAACCAAGGTATAAAGTGTAGTCTTCTGCGTAAATATATATATATATAATGGCAGAAGACTACATCTATATTTTGATGTCTGTGGGTCTGAATTTTATTATTGAACATTTACAAAGAAGGTATTAACCAATTACTTGCCAGAAAAAAAAATATAATAATGCTTCTATGAAAAAAAATATATAATAGTTACACGTAAGAAGCAACCGACTCTAGTGAGTATCGAGTCCTTTAAAGAATTAAACTTGAATTTGATGCTGTTATTGCTGAATTTAAAAAGGAAAAGGAAGCACTCATTGATATTAATTCCAAACTTCATACTAGGATTGAAGAGTTAGAACACGAAAAGAAAAGGATTGATGCTAGAATTTGGGACCTAGTGACGGGAGTTAGTGAGCTAGAAATTACCACTAGGGCTTTAGATGATCAATATGAAGAGAACAATGCTAGAATTGTGAAATTAGAACAGACTCAAAAATCGTACGATTAATTTCTTTAGTAATAACCTGGATTACTAAGTGCGGGAAAAGATTCAAATCAAAAATTATTACATAAAAGTATGATCCAATTTTTTGATTCGGGACCTAAAAATAAAGAGTTTGATGCTAGATATAAGCGAAATTAGAACAGACTCAAAAAAGACGAAAATGCTGAGTTTACTAAGATTAAGGACGAAAACAATGATCTTAAAAAAGTAATTAATGAGTTTGAGATTAAAAAACAAGCTAAATGCATTCAAATTAGTAAGGAGCTTCTTGATGAGGATCCAATAGTTGTTTATTGTCCTTCTTTCCTGAATAGACTGAAGTTAGATGTCTCTGGCAGGAGGAGATATACTACACTCAACTAACCATTCATCTTAGGTAAGAAGGATTTTTTTTGTTTTCTCCTACAATAAATGTAGAAAAATTCAAATCAAAAATTTCGTGTTGTCACTAATGCTCCACTATAATGGTCTCAAAAATGACAACGAATTCATAAACCGATCGTGGCCCAAATTGGGACCCAAAGCGGGAATCAAAGTCGACGCAGTGGTTTAAAAATATAGGAAAAAACAAAAAAGCTGGACAGGTGCTTAAAATTACGAATCAAACTCAAATCAACCATAATCAAATGGGCCTGTTGAGAGGCTTAACCTACAACTTAACCCACAACTCAATCTATGACGCAAATGCAAACTTGTCGTACTTTGAAATCTAAACCAAGTGATTACAACCTAGATTAAGTGGTTATAACATAATTATGTTATAACCACTAAGGTCAGTATGTTTTGCTGTTCCTTGATAATTGTACAAGCCATAAAATAGATGGTTTAACTCTTTCACATGTTGATGTTTATTTTTTGGCCTTCAAATACTACTTCAAAACTTCAATCAATGGATGCTGGAATAATCATGTTATTCAAAAGGCATTACAGACGTCATCATATTAAGTATGTATTTTTTTTTGTCATATTGTATTAACTTTCAAGTATTTATATGATCTTTTTTTAAAAGATGGATGCTAGATGAAATTAAAGAAGTTAAAAGAATTGAAGATTTAAAAACGAATGTATTGCAGGCAATAAGATTCATAATAAAAAGTTGGAAAGAAATCACACCTGAAACTCTTCATAACTGTTGGTGACACACAAACATTCTTCCAGCGAGTGTTAATACTATACATGTGGTCAGAATTATTAAATTGCGTCAGACGCAATTAAAAATCTAGAAAATTGAACATTGCGTCACCAATCATAAATTTGACACGTTGACGCAAGACGCAATTCGTGACGCAAGACGAAATTCGTGACGCAAGACGAAATTCGTGACGCAAGACGAAATTCGCGACGCAAGACACAATCCATTATCTTACATAAAAAAAAATACACATTTGGAAATCTTGTTTGCAAAAAATGGTTAATACTACTATTATTAATCACTATTTTGATTATGCAATTTTGCAGGTTTCTAGCCATTTTGAATAAAAAAAAATATTAGTGCAAATATTTATTTACCAATCAAATTTCTTCGGATTATTAATATATGTGAATTTTTTTCAAGATTATTAATAAACAATAAAATAAATTTTTGATTCTTTTCTTTTTTCAAGAAACAAAATTTTTTTATTTACAATTAACAAAAAAAAATTTTTTTCCATTCGCTTTCTTTAAAGGATTATCCATAATTAACACAAAAAATAAATTCACTCACCTTCCAAAGAATCGATTTTTATTACAATTATGAATTCTTCTGAAGATGATGTTTCTACATCTACATTTATTACCAGAAAATCCAGTTCAGGAAGACCCGAGATGCAAGTATGGAACCATTTTAATAAAACTGTTTCTAGTAGTAGGGGACATTATGCAGCTACCTGTAATTATTGTGAAAAAATTTGGGCACGTGGTAAACCAGATGAACTTCAAAATCATCTTGCAAGTGAATGTGACAAGTGTCCAGGAACCATCTGTGATGAATTCATTGAAATCGTTTCAAATCGGACATTAAAAGAAAAAAAGAAAAATAAAAAAAATAATCAATCTCATATTGGTGATTATATGGAAAGTACAAAATTGAATGATAACAAACGAAACAGTATCAATCAAGCTCTGGGATGATTTTTTATAACTTGTTCTATTCCATTTGCTGTTGTTGAACACCCATTTTTCATTGAATTCTGTAAGCAACTTAAACCAGCCTATGACCCACCCAGTCGTACATCAATTTCAAATACCATTTTAAATTCAGAAAATGCTTGAATTACAATAAAAATCCATGAAGAACTTCAAAAAGAAGAGAATATTACAATTGGTAAATATTTTTGGCTACTCAAAATATTTTTTGTTAATGAATGATCAATTAACTATCCTTATTTTTAGCCATTGATGGTTGGAGTGATCCCAATAATAGAAATTTATACAATTTTGTACTCATGACTTCAGATAGAAGAGAATACCTTTGGAAAATAGAGGATTTTTCTTCTTTTAGTATCACTGGGGATTTTCTGGCAGCTGAAATTGAAAAGGTTATTGAACAAATTGGCCCCAAGAAATTTGTTGGTTTAGTTACAGATGGAGCTGCAAATTGTGTTGTTGCTAGACGTAAAATTAATGAAAAATATCCAAATATATTTACAATGTGGTGTGTTGCCCATCATCTAAATTTACTTTCAAAAGACCTCTGCAAACATGAATTTGCAGATAATACAATTAAAAAATGCCAAACTTTGGTAAATTTTTTTAAAAAGTCACATTTGGGAATGGCAGCGCTTTGTGAATCAATGGAAAAGCTGCAAATAAAAGGTGGTGGAATTAAAACCTTTACAAAAACTAGATGGTCTACTGTCTTTGATATATGTGAGACAATATTAAGATTACGTTCTGCTTTCGAAGATGTAAGAATTAATTTTGTTTTACATGACAGTTCAAATATTTTAAAAAGTTTATATTTCTAATTATAGATTATAAGAGAAAAACCAGAAAATTTAAGTAGCTTATGCATTAGAACAATCAATTCACATGGCTTTTTTGATGACATACGTCAATTAACCATAGTCCTTCAACCAATAAAAAATGCAATTGGAATCCTTGAATCAAAAAATGCAACCTTAGCAGATTGTTTTTTTAATCTATGCTGTCTTGCATCAGCAATATATTATATACCAGCTATTACCAACAATACTTATCAAAATTTTTGTAATTATTGTATTGACAAATTTAATGAGAGATGGGTCCAATTTGAACACAAGTTATTTCTTTTAGCATATTTTCTCC